CGCACTGCTGCGAATTTGAAGAGTCAATCCGAAACGTCCCCTCAAATTAATAACGGAGCACGTATCAAGGAGGATAGTTATCTTTATTAGTCCTCTATAAAAGGTACCTGAGATGAGATAATTGAATTATAGGATCAAGACCCATCTTCCAATTCTTTAACTCTCGGTTTTCCTCAACATGCCGGTCAATGAAGTTTCTTCGTTGTACAGACTTGTTGAGGAAAATTAAAGGTCGAAGAATTGAGTGATGGGTCCTGATCCTCCTGTTGTCTTTGAGGGCGTGCTCTCTTTCACCATCGTAGCCTCCTCGATCTAGTATACCTCGGAAGTCCAAGCACTCGCCCTGGAGATCCCATGTCTGCCCAAGCACATGGTCACCTCACATTGAAAGCTAAAAATATTGGAAACTGAAAAAGCTGTTGGTGACCATGTGTTTGGGAAGACGTGGAATCTCTGGAGAATTGCTTGGTCTTCTGGGGTTTACTAGATTGAGGCGCCTACGACGGCGAGAGGGAGCACGCCTTCAAAGACAAAGGTTCTTGTTCTTCCGGGGTATACTACTTTTTATTAATTGAAGTCAGACCATTGATATAAATCCCGTTTTCCATTTTCTTCAACTGGTGCACAAAATTCACTGGCAAAGACAGATGTGAAAACGGAGATTCAAAGTCAAACAAGGGATGGTGATTAATTTCGTTCGACTCACAGACCTATCCCTTCTAACAAACAATGGCGAGAAGATCCCGTACCTCCTCTGCAACAGAATCCGCTGCCAAATTGGTTCGAGAGGCAGACTGCGGTATGAGGAAACGGTGAACGTAGTACCGGGTTTGAAGTAGTACCTCATATACCGGAGGGCTTAAATGTTCAAAGCATACCGGACAATCTACAACTTCTGGCTCGGTAATGGTCACTGACACTTGTTACTGAACGTAGCACGGGGTAAAGTAGTAGTTGAGTTGATGTAAAGTAGTTGAGTCGATGTAAAAGTGCGACATGCATACGTCGCATATCATTCGCCTAATTGGTGCATAATTTATATTATGAAAGTTTTTTCGATGTAAAGTAGTTGAGTCGATGTAAAATTGCGACATACATACGTCGCATATTATTCGCAGAATTGGTACATAATTAATTATAATATTTATTTTCTGGAAAGTTCTTTGTCTGTGAATTAAATATAAATTTAAGACTTCGTCGCATATAGTTCGCAGAATTGTTGCATAATTAATTATAATATTTATTTATTTTTTGGAAAGTTCTTTGTCTGTAAATTATATATAAATTTAAGACTACGTCGCATATCATTCGCAGAATTGGTGCATAATTAATTATAATATTTATTTTTTGAAAAGTTCTGTCTGTGAAATAAATATAACTTTAAGACTACGTCGCATATCATTCGCAGAATTGGTGCATAATTAATTATAATATTTATTTTTTGGAATGTTCTTTGTCTGAATTAAATATAAATTTAAGACTATGTCGCATATCATTGGCAAAATTGACGCATAATTAATTATAATATTTATTTTTTGGAAATTCTTGTCTGTGAATTAAATATAAATTGAAGAATACTATTAGATGAATGAACCTGCGATTATTACTTCGAAACAATTCCGCATAAAAACTTTATAACACTCGTTAAATTTTCTATTCGGCGACGTACAAAATTGTGACATACGAACGTCGCATATTAGTGCCCGACTTGGTAAATAGTTAAAAGTTCTTGAAAAGTTTTTGGTCTGTGA